AGGACATGGACAATGGTGTGGAGAGGGACTGGGGAGGGGGGTGGGACGGGGTGGAATGGGTCATTGGGGAGATAAAGGGACATTTGTAATATTTTAAATAAAAAAATATATTTAGAGAATAAAAAAAAAGGAAAAAATTCTGACACATAGTACAACATGGATGAAACTTGAAAACACTATGCTAAGTGAAATACGTCAGCTACAAAAAGGCAAACACTTACATGAGGTTCCCAGAGTAGTCAAATGCATAGAGACAGAAAGTAGAATGGTGGCCGCCAAGGGCTGGGGGAGGGGAAATGTGGAGCTATTGTTTAATAATTACAGAGTATTAGTTTTGCAAGCTGAAAACAGTTCTGGGATGGATGTGGTGATGGTTGCACAACACTGTGAATGTACCTACTACCACTGAACTCTACACTTACAAATAGTTAAATGGGAAATTTTTGTTATGTGTATTTTACCACAATTAAAAATAATTTTTAAATGTGTGTGTGCGGGGTGAGGGTGGATCAGCAGTTCAGAGGGCAGAGACCAGGAAGTAGAGGTTTCCTGCGTGTCCGCCACATGCCCGACTTCTGTGTAAGCCCTCCTATTAGTTCTTCTCATGGATTCCCCCACGCAGTGCGGTGGAATTAGAAATAAAGTATTCAATAAAAGGCAACCAGCATCTTCTTCTTCATCTTCATCATCAAAGAAACAAAGAAGAAAGCCTAGGACCAGATGGCTTTGTCTGGCATTTTTTCCATTACTCTATTCAGAGCCTGTGATAATGTGCCCTTCATGCGCTTTCCTAGTAATTCCTGGGAAATCACTAGTCCTTACCCTGGAAATAACTAGTCCTGGCTTGAACATGTAAATATTTCAATCATGAGCAAACTTCTTCACCTTCATAAGGTACCGATCTGTGTTTCAAAAAAAGCCTTAACGAGTATCATCTCTAAGGACAGTTCTTAACAAACACCACCTTATAAGCAGACAAAAGGTGAGGAGAGTTCACCTTGTAAAGGTAAACAGCCAGTTCCCACCACCTGGGCTAGTTGGCCTGGCAACCTGGTATCGGGAAGCTCTGCACATCCTGAGCAGGGCCAGGCTTCCAGGTAAATCAAAAACGACACCAGCTTTTCATGCTATCAGAGAAGCAGTATCCAAGAGTTTAACATTTAAATACAATCACGTTTTGCCCTTGTTGGAGGCAAAAACTCATTACTAGCCCTAAAAAAGCTTTAACAAGTTGCTCTGATGGATTTCACTCCAGCATTGCTAATGCATTCTCCCATATCAGTAGAAATTTGATGGGGAGCTAAAGTAATCCTTTTAGGACAGATAACTAATGCCCAGCACACACTACCCAAGGCATCACTTATGGTAGGATTTGTTCTTTGCTATGCCATGAGAGTGGCTGCTGATGACCTGATCTAAACCACTAAAAAGTCCAAAAACTTTTTAAACTTAGAAAATGGATAGGTGATACTCTCCCATAAAGGGGTAACTCTGCAAGGCCTCCACCATTATGCCACCACCAGCTTCTCCGGCCTGGTTTTTATCACTCCCTTTCGCAGGTGCGAGAGCCACCTTGCACCACCCCTTAAGCCAGTGGTTAGCCAGGCGTCAGAATCCCCTGGAGAGTTTGTGGAAATGCCCATCCCCAGAGTGGCGGAGTCAGCACCTCTGGGAGAGGGCGAGAATGTGCGTTTCTACCTAGCTCCCGGCGATGCCACTGCTGTGGTCCCCGTGATGCCACTGCCATCCCCTTCCTTTCCACAGCTACCTCTTTGGAAATGCTGTTACATCCACTTGGAATGCCATCTTCCTGGTAACTCTACTTACACTGTGTCAAAACCCACATGGGGACCTGAGGCAGCCCAAGGCTTCTCCCTCTCCCCCCTGTTCTGGCTTCTTCCACCCTTACTCCCAAAGAGGGATCACGGGAAGGGTGGGGAAGCCCAGTAATGAGGGAGGTGGTGCAGGGTATGTCCAGAGACCCTGGTGGGCTTTTCCACACCACCAGAGGAGTGTGTAGGAGCACAAGCCCTGGCCAACTCTCCCTTTCTTCTTTTACAGAAGCTGCTACTGTCCTCAGGGACCCCACAAGGAGAGGTAGACCTGGGCCAAGGCAGGATTTAGGGTTCCTGAATCCCCTTGCCAAATGACCAAATTAATGTCGTCTTAAGAGTAATCTACCTGACTCCCAACATCTGTCATCAAATACCAGCCACCTGACAAAAACTTGCCCATCTGTACTCCTGAAGGACGTACGTGTTCTACCTCGTGCATAAGTCCTTTTCAATTAGTCTGCTCAGCACCTTACTCCCTTCTGAACTGTACACAGAGAGTACTCATTAAATATTTACTGAATTTAATTGAAACATACACACAGGTTAAGAGTGCACATTGTATTTGTACCATTACCAAAGCAAGGGTCACAGGAACTATATATCAACAGCATTTCACATTTAGAAAATTTGTTTTTCTCAAATACCACAGGTTGCCCTAAAAATATACTTTAGGAAAAAGACATTCCAGAAGAGCTTTTATAATAATTCTGAAAATTCCAAACATCCTATCTATTCTTTGCAGGAGCATATTTATAACATAATGCATTTGGCCCCAAGAAAACTTTTAACAGTAAAATTAAAATTAGCCTTGGGAAATAATGCAGAAATTAAATTGATTTTCTTGATGATTTTCTTCCTTAGATGCACAGCCCCTGTTTAGCTTATATTACCAAAGAAATACATAATAGCAATAGTACAGAGTGGGTCTTTCTTTAAAGGGAACAAAAGATGGCAACTCACCTCAGAACTAGCTGTAGCATCACATCTTCACAGTGTAAACCGATGAGAGTCCTAAATAATGCCAGGGACACCACACAGAGCTGGGGAGCAATAAACACATTCTATTTCAGATATGGGAAGGACAGCTCCACTCTCCACAGATGGCAAATAAATTAGAATTACAAAATAAAATGGCCTCTTTTCTTTAGCAGTTTTGATAAAACACGGGGCTGCCAGAGAGAATGCGTATTACATGTATTCAGGCTATCAGTTCTCCTATAGGGTTCAATTGGAAGGACTAAGCCTGGAATTACACCATTATGAAGAATTACCCTCCTACAAAATGCCTCGCTATAGTTTCCAACTGTTTAAGATCCAGATAAAGACACCCATACAACTCTCCAACACGTACATATGCACACATGTGCACATGCACACACCAGAGCTCCTGCATGTCCCTTGTTTGCCTAAATTATTTTCAGATATGACATTAGTTATCTACGAGGCAGGGCTGACAGAAAATTGCATATGCCCTGGCCAACTTTGCCTCTGGAGTTCTCAGCTCCGAGCCTCAGCTCCTCTTGGTTTTGGAGCAAACGTTCTCCTTGGTTTCATTTTCAGTAGTGCTGAGGGTGTGATAATGTGCTTTTCTAAGAAGTTCATTAAAAAAACAAGGCTTCTTTCACACTCTGATTTCCAAAAAAGGAAAGATAACCAACCAAACAGGAAAGAAACCCAAAGGTGTACTATAAAATCGTCATGCTCTTTTGGGAGTAAGCTTTTATTCTATCAGGCCACGTAAGTAATTCAGGCTCTCCTTCTTTGACAGGATGTATGTATTGGAGAGTTGTAGGGGCAGGTTTACCTGGATCTTAAGAAACTGGAAATAGGAGCGCACAGGCATTCTGTAGGAGGGTAATTCTGCATAATGGCCTAATTCCAGGCTTAGGCTTTCTAATCAAATCCCATAGGAGAACTGACAGTCTGAACATACATTCTCTGTTTACTCCTACAACTCAATGATAAAAAGACAAGTGCACTGTGCTGAGCACCCTAGACATTGACTTAACGGGGTTACTATATTAATACTGTGTATAATACGGTACTGTTAACTATAATCACCATGCTGTATATTAGATCCCCAGAACTTGTTCATCTTCTAACTTGAAGTTTATACTCCTTGACCAACACTGTGAAGTTTTATAAAGTATTGTAGCTATTTAAGCTTTTATCTTTAGAGTAAGTGTATTGTTCCATAAGCTTAACTTATTGTTTTTAAAGGTTATTCTATGTGGATTATCAATTATTTGGTTCAGTTCAGGTTTAGGAATTTAACTTTCAATCTATTACTATCATTGAATCTTGTAGATGGCATATGGTTGGAACTTCTTTTATTATCCAGTCTGACAATCTCTGCCTTTTGATTAAATTTTATAGCCTATTCGCATTTAATATTATTGTTATAACTGGATTTCTATCTGTTTTACTTTTTGTTCTCTATATATCATGATTTCTTTTTTTGTTCTCCTATTCCTCTTTTATTGTCCTATTCATTGATTTTTAGAGAGAGGGGAGGGGGAGGGGGAGCAAGGGAGAGAAAGAGAAACATCAATGGGTTGCCTCCCATACATGCTCTAACTGGGACTGAACCCGCAGCCTAGGTATGTGCCCTGACCTGTAATCAAACCTGCAACCTCTTGGCATACAGGACAACTCTCCAACCACCCAAGCCATGCTGGCCAAGGCTCAGTATATTTTTTAAGTTATTTTGTTAGTGGTTCCTCTAGGCCCTACACCATTTACATCTTACCTTATCAGACTTCAGATTTATACTAAATTCATTCCAATGAAACAGAGAAATATTACTCCTATATAGCTCTATCCTTCTAACTCCCTTTTGTGCTATTACTGTTACACATATCATACATGTATGTTACAAAGTCAATAATACATTGTTAAATTATCATTCTTTTAATTTTAAAACAATAATTGCAATTAAATAGAGATAGCCCTTGCCCGGGAGGGCGGGTGCAAAGGGCAACACTAATAGTATAAGAGGATTTTCAAAGTTGATCAGAACTTCAAACTAAAGAATGATTTCCTAAATTCACCACTGCCCAGACTTCCATTTTAAAATACAGAACTATATTATCTGATACCCAGACTTGCTACACTCTGGTTCTTTGGCTTTGCCTGCACTTATGCCCATATGTTCCCCTGCATCGTGCCTCCTCAGAAGCACATTCTGCTAGTTCCATAGAAGAAAGTGCCAACCCAGAAATTGAGAAAAATGTCCTATGAAAGGCAGTAAGTGCCACCTCCCTGACAAAAGAACTCCTAATAGCAAAATGCAGTATCTAGTTCCAAAATAGAAAAGGTAATGGCTGAAAGGAGGAAAAAAGGGGCAGGGGAGAGAAAAGAGAATATTCATAATCCTATTCCAAAACAAATTCTCCTGAAATCTTACCCGAAATGGGGTGTTGATTCGACTCGTGAGAGTGTCTAGGATGTGGACATTCTCGTGCTGGTGCAACAGGATGAAACGGAGGAAGATCTCAAGTAGTGCTGGCTCGGAGATGCTCCGCAGAAAAAGGTCCAAATAGGCAGTTGTGGTCATGACCTCCTCCACAGTCACCTGGGACCAACGACAGAGTGAGCACAGGTGAGCATCCCCGCGATGCTGTGATACATGCCTCCCCGACGGCCCCGGCCTCACCGCAGTGACCCCATCAAGGCAAGAACACACCTGCCACAAGAACACACTTCAGAGCTTCATCTGAAGCCGATAACCTATTCACATCCTGCAATACCTCACGCTGTTTCCACCCTTTAGCTCAGTAAGGGAGAAGCAAAGGCATAAAGACGCGGTTCAAGTGTTCAGACAACTCTAATCATCAAATGCAGCTCATACACCATGAAGATTTGTGTGCGCGATCGCTGGGGGGAAAAGATAAGGGAACGTGTTTGCATGGTCAGTAAAGGATTAATGAGATAGCTCAGCAGAACTTGTTTCATTAGCCATCACTCTATAAGTATTTACTGAGACCTGCTATGTACAATGAGCTGGAAACATTAAGAACACATTTTTTTGTCCAGGAAGATGGATTACGTATATGACCCAGCACACAAAATAATATAATAATAAATGGCAAATGGGAGGTGAACACACAGTGATGCACATGTTCAGACGTGTTTCTGCAAAGTTGCAAGTCACATTTTTATAGCTGAATAATATACATAAAGTGGTACTTACAAACTGCTATAAGAATTTGCTGCTTATAAAGTAACTGTGGCTTTTTTATAACACCAATTAGTATTTTCCATGTGGCGGGATTTTCCCGTGCTGTAAAATGTCCATCTTTCAGGAAACAGAACTCTGAAGAGTTTAAAGCTTCAATAAATTAACTTCACCATTGTGACTGGGAGCATCTGAAGACCTGGAATACATCTGTCTTCCTCAAAGCAGACTATAACATCTGATGAAGAGGGGTCATCAATGGCCTTATTGTCTGTAGTGGAGAAATACCTAAACGGGGCTGCATGACAATCACTAGTGAAAACTGTTCAAAACTCCCACCTCCAATCCTCTGCCCTAGAAATCTCGGCCGTCTCCCCTGCAGCGAGCCTGACACGCTGGATGATCCACGAAATGGCTGGTGATGCTTTCAGCGTGATTACACCTTCTCTTTTTCAGTTTTCCATCTTCTTTATTTCTCCCTTTAAAAGTGCTAACTGCCACTTTATCATACTGTGACTTTTATATACATTTCTCTTCCGCTTGTAATTTTCTGCTTTCAAAATCCACAAAGCAGTTTAGGAACTGGATCTCCGAGTCTGCTTTTATAAGTGTAGACAGGCCTTGCATGGACGCATCTGTGCATTAAGGCTTCAATTACTTCCATAAATTTCTTGGTTCTTAGGTATGTTCTAGATAGATGAGTCCAGGTGGGCAAGAGAAACCAAGTGGGCTTTGTCTGTTTTCTTTGTTCTGAGCAAGGCATGCCTACATACTGCATTTCAACGCACTCTCTCACAACCTATGGACAACTCACCCAGCAGCACCCTGGGTGGTCTGAGCACCCCATCAGAGGGCAAACACCCTTCCCTCACCAGCTCAGCACCAATGGTGTGAGATCCTCAAATATTCAACTCACCACTGTGCCATCTGAGCCACTTCAAAGGGCTCTCTGTGGCCCAAATATAGCAAAGGAAACGTGTCAACCACTTGACACATAAACTGCCTTGAGAAGCGTGCTTCTCGTGGGCTGCCCCAGCTTCTGAATCAAACTGCTTCTACCCTTTTTCCCAGTGTTTGCTAGTGACAGCTCCGGCACTCTTAGTCCTGTCCTGGGACACACACTCTGTCTCCTTCCTTATTACTCCAGTGCGATGCACTGGTCTAGCACATACGCAGCACTTAATAAACGTCTCCTGCATAAATGACATCCCCCAAGGACACGGGGATTTACATTGGCCAGAGTTGAGCTTCATTTTTAATTCTTCCCTCTTCTCTGCATGTGCTCTGAAGGCCTCAGAGAGAGAGAACATTTTTAATAAAGACATAAAATGACTGATGTTGCCAAGTAGCTGTGAGGGAAATGACTCACAACACCTAACAGGTAGTTTCATGAGCTCACACCCACTCCGCTACTGCAGTCTCGGGGGGCCTTCAGCAGAAATCTAATCCAAAGTCATTTAAGCAAACGTCTAATTCCCCAACACTCTTGATCACTATAAAAAAAGTAGCACTAATCACTCCAAATGGGCCATGTGTGTAGTTTCCGTAAGACGGTATTTTCATCTTACCTACTGGGCACTGCTGAGTGGGTGTGTCATGCAGAACTCCAGGAGCTGCCTTGGCACCAATAATGCAGCATCAGCTTGCCCCCCTTAAGTTACCCATGACCTTAATAAGCTCAAAAGCACAGCAATCAGCTCTTCAGAATATAAGTCTCAGTCTTTGGGGGCTGCCATGAAAGGAGGGCACTAAGTATCTATCGTTTACTACTCTGAGGTCGGATAAATGAAAGATTTTTTTAAAGAAAAAAAATCAAAGCTGTCATTTATAAGCTAAGAGGATTTAAGAAAGCACTTGGAGGGCATCATTTACATAACGTGGTATAAATATTAAAGACCCAATTCTATTAAGCATCAAGTTGCACACTCTTTATAAATGGAGGTCACATTCACCTTAAACTAATACCTGAACCAGGAACATCTGGTTCACTCTTTCCATCTCTTCCCTTCTCCATACTGTCAGAGCCCTTAGGAGCCTTTTATCCCAGAAAATCTTCTCCTGCCCCATTATCTTACTTTTCAAAATCTTCCTCTAATCCCCCATATAGGCAACCTCCTTAACGAGGATGAGACCAGAGCCTAAGTGTGATCACTTGAAAGCTAACAAAAAAACAGGGGAAAGCAGCTCAGCCGTGCAGAAGGTAAAACTGAAGCTTTCACGAATGCCCCAAAGTGGGAGGATTAGCCAAACAGGAAGCAGCCGCCTCTGCACGGTCCATTGACAGAGGACAAGCAGCTGTTGATAGTAAGACCTTCTGACTCAGGTCAATACTGATTTACCTTGTTCTATAAAGAACTGCAGGTAGCTACAAATCTACATAGAAATTCTAGAAGAAACAGTAAATGAGGCTCTATTTTATCACCATATAACACAACAATAAAGTTTAAGGATAGTAAAGCTCAGAAATGTTATTTCTTATTAAAGGTAGAACAGAATGACTACAATAACCTAAGGAGAACTCATTCCTACAAATAATTATTCTTGACAAGGTAACTACAACTGTGAACCAAAACAGCGTATCTGCTTAGGCACTCTTTTTTTCTAGTTGAGGTACAATTCAGCAAAAGAACAAAACTAAACCACTCTCTTATACCACATACAAAAATTAATTCACAATGTACTGAAGACTTGAATGTAAGGCCTGAAACCATAAAATTCCCAGAAGAAAATATAGGCAGTAGGCTCCTTGCCATAGGTCTCGGTAATGATTTTTTGGATCTGGCTCTAAAAGCAGACAACAAAAGCAAAAATAAACAAGTTCATAAACAAGACTACATCAAACTAAAAGCTTCTGCAAAGCAAAGGGAACCATCAACAAAGTAAAAAGGTAACCTACTGAATGGGAGAAAATATTTGCAAATCACATGTCTTATAAGGGGTTAATGTCCAAAATATATAAAGAACTCAACTCAATAGCAAAAAACAAACAAAACAACTGATTTTAAAAAATGGGCAAAATATCTAAATAGACATTTTCCCAAAGAAGGCATGTAAATGGCCAACAGGCACATCAAAAGATGTTCAACATTACTAATTATCAGGGAAATGCAAATCAAAAAAACCACAACGAGACTACCTAACACCTATTAGGCGATTCTCAAAAACACAAGAAACAAGTGTTGGAGAGGATGTGGAGGAAAGAGAACCTCATGCACTGTTGGTAGGAACGTAAACTGGTACAGCCGCTATGGAAAAAGTATAAAGGTTTCTCAAAAAGTCAAAAATAGAACTACCATATGACCTAGCAATTCCATTTGTGGGTACTTATCCGAAGGAAACAAAAACACTGATTTGAAAAGCTATCTCACCCCTGTATTTGTCGCAGCATTATTAACAACAGCTTAGGCTTGCTTTTCAGCCCAAGTTGCAGAAAGGAGCCCTGAGTCAGGTACTTAATTTTACTGCTCTCAAGTCCAGTTTAGTCTATCCTGGAACTAAATCTCTTTCTTCACCCACCTTTCCACCATCCACTAGCCCTTACCTGAGTCCACCAATCTCTTAAAGTGGTGCTTTTCAAACTATAGTTTGAGATCCCAAAGTGCGTAGTGAAATCAATGTATCGGTTCATTAATGGTTTAGACCAGATTCAAATAGAAAATATTAGAGTACATTGCATGTAGTAAGAATAAGTACTGCTTGTGAAACTTTGGTATACATATTTTATTCAAACTATATGTAATACAATATATTATATATGCATGTGCCTTGTTATATAGTCAGTAAAACATACACAAATGCATAAATTTCTGGCTCCGCATTACGGTCAAAAACACCTAAAAAAACTGATGTAGCATTGCAGTAACCAAGCCAATTCACAGGCCTTTCTGCCACCCTCTCACCCACCAGCTCTCATCACCAGCTTCCTATATACCCCAGGCTGTGACCCAGCATGGCCAGGTCTGGAAGCAGCATAACTGAGATCAGTTCTCTGAGCAGGATGGAAACTGAATTTACAGGAAACTTATTCCTTTTTATCTTAGCCCCAGAGCTCCAACAGCACATTTTTTAAATTAAAAGTTCAAGCTTCTCAGAAATAGACAAAATAAAGAGTTTCTCTTCTCTTAAAAGGGGGTGG